CATTCCCACGAGCTCTCCCCGTACCAAATGTGCACACATCAATCAGTCCTCTACTTAAACCCTCATCAGTTCCCCGGTCAGTGCTCACGATTGAGATTCTCTCCCTGAGCTTACCTTCTATCTAAGCCTTCGCCTTACTACTGATTCTCCCCTGGACATTGACTCTGCTTTTTCCAACTACCTCTTTGCCACTTGATTTTGTACCTTCGCCTCTAGAACGCTCTCTTGGATCCTGACCCCTGCCAGTCTACTCTGACTCCGCCTACATCTAGCACCAACCCTACCTAGCGCACCGCATTGGATCCCTATCCTCCGCAGTCAGCCCCTGCGTGACTCGTGAGCCAAAGTATGGAGGCTCTTGACCACCTCAATGCCAGCATTCAACACCTCGCTAACCTGGTCTCCAGCTCCCCTCCTCAGCCTCTTGTTTCCCACCCTCCCGTAAGTCCCACTCTGCCACCAGTTTCTCTTGCCTCCTCTTCTCCCCTGCCTCCTCCCACACCGGACCGATTTGATGGCACCCCGAGTATGTGTCAGACTTATCTGACTCAATACTGGATGGCTTTCAGCCTTCGTTCGGATTGTTTTCCCCACTGACCTCGAACATATTGCATTTATGGTCGCGTACCTCTCTGGCCCGGCGATGCAGTGGTCTTCTTGCCAGGAATGATGTAGATGTAGAAAAAATTATAGTTACCTTGTGATTACCTCCTACCATCATGTTCATTGTTTTTTTCACAGGTTCAAATCAAACAACTACATAGAAACTGAGGCAATGCCATACCCCATATGCCATACTCTCTTTTTTTTTTTACTGTGCTAGACAGAATAGCTCAGCTCTGTGTTTGTGTAATAGTATTAAAACTTTGCAGCCTTTGTGGTTCATGAATTTTGTTCTGTCACCTTAACTCTATGAAGAGATTTAGGTCTAAAATGTAACTACTGTCTGTCTCTGACACAGATGTTACAAATTAGACGGAATGAGACAATTTTATTTCTGTTATCCATAGAGCATTCTTTACTGTTGCACCCCAGAGTGTGTGCTTGAGGGTGTCCATACCCTGTCTTTGAATGGTTTCGCCCCATGTCTCCCCTACAAACCAAGTCTATTTTTGGAGTACAAAGTACTCCATACATGTTTTAAGCAATGTTTGAAACTCCTCTCTGGCAACTGAGACACTGAAGGTGAGATTCAAACCTGTGAGTCATTGGGCCCCCTTTATTTTTACTCTAAAACTAGGCCCCCTGCAATGCTTTATGCACTGTATTTGAAACTCCTCTCTGGCTCTTGAGATGCTGTGAGGCATTCTATTCCCTTTTTGCCTCCTTTCTCTGACTAGGTTTCCCCAAACTACTGTGTGCAGCGGGCCCTCACTAGGCCTTGCACACCCTCATAGCTCCCTGGCTCCTTAGAACTATAATAGGCCATGTTAATTCATGCTCTGACATGTCAAAGTCCATTTCCCACCTTGGTGACCTTCGAAAAAGGACTCCCTCCTGAACATTATTTTCAATTACACTCATGCATGTGCACTTACTAACACAATGTGCGGCTGTGACATTGGAGTTGGGGCATTAGTTTAGGGAAAATGGCTCTAGATAAGGGAGTGTGGTCAACTGACCAAATGTTTTACTTTTGTGCATCTACTTACCACTCCTGTGGTAGGAGAAAGAGGCCCAGCAACTCCTAAAATTGTTAGGTGGTGTAATCCTACACAAACTAAAGCAGTTCTTGAATTTAGTGGTCACCATTTAGAAGCTCTGACCACAAAAGAGAGAGAGGAGAAGTGAGGGAATTTGAAGCTTGCATCAGGTGAGAGTCTCTACTTCATGATCATCTGAACAAAACACGATTGGAGATATGCATTTGAACCTTGCTAAACAGAAGTTGCTATTCCTTGTGTTTTTAGGAAACTTGGGTTTCCTGAGCAAAGAATACTTTGGTTAAAGACTTGGAGGTGCATTTTTAGAATAGGGAGATAGTCTCCTATTTATTTTTGTAGTATCTGGGTTTGCAAAGAGAGAGATTTAACTGCAGGTTGTATTGCATTTAGTAGGCAGCTAATCTCTTGTTTGGCCTCTATACGCATTATTTAAGAGTCAAATACTTGGTAGCCACCTGGGGTCTTCTGGGTGGTTTCAACATAGGACTCTGAAACCCCTTGTCTGCAAACTTGTAAATACAGTAACTTGTGTGATTTGTTTATGTTGCATGTAGTGTAGTAAGTATCACCATCATTGTTAATATTTGTTTAACCAAATGTGCCTGGATTATTACTCTTTTCACTAAAGTTGTGCCAGATAATGAATTAATATGCCACAGACTATACTAACCCCTCAGGTATACAGTATTCCAGCTGAAATCACCTATAAATTGGGGGGTTATGTTAATTTAATTTATTGACAAAGCCACTAAGTCAATTCCTGATTTTTTCCCCTCTGTATTTTATGCAGCAGGTGAGAAATAAGTTCTGTGCCCAAGAGAAGCCCAGAAGTATAAAAAGCAGCTCTTAGCTAGAGGTAGAAATAAAAGATCCTAGAATGTCATACAGCTCCCATAAATTGTGGATTGAGTATAAGTTCCTACCTTCCGATACATCAGCGTTCCTTGTGCAGATGAATGTGGCAAAACAAAATGGATGACTAGCTGAGCACTCAAAGAAAGAATGCTTCTACTAACCTTGAAGATTTTGACAGTCTTCTGAAGGCCCCTTTTGGGTTTAAGTTCCCACATTACTTGGAGATCTCTTGACCTCATGGGTACTGTCAGGACTGGCCCGCTGAGGAAACAGGAAGATGGACCCTATGCAGTACCTAAGGGGGCTAGACGAGAGGCGAGTCCGAGTTGAGTTCTGAGGGTCATAGAAAAAGGCAGGAGAGAAGGTTTCCAATCCAGAATAGGGCAAGGCTGAAGTCATGGTCGAAAAGGGAATTCTGTGAGTCAAAAGGTGAAGATCAACAAGTAGGCTTCCAAATCCAAAGGGGCAAGACAGTAGACAAAATCTAAGGTGAGTTCAGTGGTGGGTAACAAAGAGCAAGGTAGGTGAATAAACAAACAACCAATACCAGGCAAAGAACAGGGACTTCTGGAGGGTTTAAGTATTGTGCAAAGGAGGCGGTGCGCTGATTGATGGAGTGTTCTGGTTGGCTGATTGGCAGGAGCGGTGTCGTTTAGCAGAAGTACTCAGGGCTGGAGTGTGATTAGTGCAAGTGTGCTTCCGTGTGAGAATGTGGTGGGGAGAAGGCGTGACAGGTACATTCCATGCTACTAGTCATCATTGGCGATAAAATTTTGAACTTGAACATTTTAGGACCCATTTGAAATGAAGGATGTGCGACAGTTTTCTCAAATCCTCAATTTCTTCCACATATATGAGCTTAATATATTACATTACTGCTTACAGTAACAATAGTCTACAATGGAGTGAAATCAAAAGTAGGATGAATACCAATCTATCTTTTCACCTTTACTAATTTTGCCAAAGTTCCACGATAATGTTAAACTAACTTCTCTAATCCTAAACCTAAACTTGTTCGAATTACATGCTCAATTTGCTTGAAAATCAAACACAGTATTCCTGACTTTGGGAAGGCTACTTTTAACAATGCATGGGCTTAAGAGATCATGAATATTGGAGGTCTTCCTGGTTGTTTGCAAAGCCATGAATGTAAACCCAAAAAATTATATCAATTAATTCAAACCATCAAATCACTACAAACGTAACCTGATTATAATTATGCATGAACTTGAAACGAATGAGTTTTAAATTCATTCATGTTTTACGATGAATCTGAAAACTATTAAAATGTCATTATACTGGGGAAGAAAAACCTTCACTACTCACTTATTTTATGAGTAATAATAATAAAAGAATATTGTAGATGAATTATCTATAATTACACAGTGAAACTGGATCATTTATACCATAATATTACATGGTTGTTTATGCACCATAAACAAAAGTGCTACCAAATTATTTCACACAATAAAATATAAAAATTAAACTTCTTTACAATTACATTTTATGTATAGCTTTCTCTTATGGCAGACATAACATGAAACTGTTTAGATTTTAAAACTCAATTGCTAAACTCAAACTAATGGTGGACTTTCTACACATCTGAAGGTTTTAAATTTAGAATCACCCTTTATTTTTGGCCGACCCCTTCAACCTGCCCACATTGGGGCCACTCATCTTTTAACATCCCCATACCACAGGTTGAGCCCTGATTGGGTGAGAGAGACATGTTCTTCACTGACAGCACCAACAACACCCAGGAGAGAGCCCTGGCCAATTCACCCCACCCTGATCAAGCGAGTCTGAATCTTGATCCTGTCTGTAAACTTGTACAAAGAGAAACTTGCGTATTATATATTTATGTGATGTAGTGTTTGCTATTGTTAATAAATATTTGTTTAACCAAGTGTGCCTGAATTTTCATTCCTTTCACCAAAGCTGTACCAGAGAACAAAGAATTCACATTCACAACTATACCAATCTCTCAGATATATTCTTGGAGAAATCCTTACAAGTTGGGGGTTATGATTGGTTAGTTCCTGATTTTCTCAATTTGTTGTACCCCCCCCCATCTGTGACACTGTGCTTTCCCCGTAATTTACAGTAGTTCATGATGGATAATCAAGTAAAAAATAGTTTAGCTCCTGTTATTTCTTGGCTGCATGAAACCAAAAGGTTATACTATATTCAAATGGTAGCTAGTTACATTTTTCACAGATGAGACATAAATGACAATATAGTCCCAAATCCCCCACAAATATACCACATAACTGTTTTCACCTCCATGGCACCCCCCATAGATACCAGTTTCAAGTAACTTTATACCATGTCAATTTTTTTAAAAAATGAATAAATTCATATTGGAAACACTTTATTTTATCACTATAAAGAAAGTGGGTTCATTATGGAAAGGTATATAAAAAACATAATATTATAAGAATGTTTAATGTTATTGTAAAATAAAGCAAATTTACTTTACTGTCTATTTGAAGGGATTAGTTTTATTTACAGGAAAATTGTGATGATAATTTGTGATAGAAAACCAAACACATTGCTAAATTCAGTTAATACAATTTCTCACTATTGTCCCCAGGGTTCTGCATATAAATAAATAGTGAATCATGTCCATTCAGTGCCTAACCAAACTGTAATTTCCACAATAAAAGTCTTACATAGTGACTTCTTGCTTGTCAAGTTGCCATGGAAACAAGACAGCCTTACGTGGCTCAATCTAATTAGTTTTATATTTTTGCCTAACCACTTCCACAGTCATAATTCTGCTATTATGGAAACTTAGCTCAATATTTAAAGCCCTTTTATTATAAAAAAGCCCATACTGTTGAATTATGTCAAGATATACATTTTTATTTGCACTATATACTTATTATTAATGCATTGACTTACTAAAAAAAGCTACAATACACAAAACCCATTCTATTTTGATTTTTGGTTTGTCTTGTCTCATTGACCTGGGTGTGAAGAAGCCTTTGCACTATATTATACTAGAATATTGCAATGCCTCTTTTAAAAAAGGGCTAAAATAATTCATCCTTATCATCTGTGGGTTTCGTACTGAGACTGTTGAAGGTGGCTTTAGTCTCATGTTCTACAAAGCCATTCATCTGCTCACTGTTGTTTCCTGTTACATTCCTTCTTGAATGAGCAGGCTGCTCAACACTTGTCCTTTGATTTAAAACAACGGCCTCTGAATCATGAGCTTCCTCACAGGTCCCTTGGTCAAGGTCTTCCTGATGTCTTAAAACACTACGGCACCTCGCTGACTTAGTGCAGAGTCTGCTCTTTAGCTCTTCTTCTCTGGTCTGAAGAGGAGAGTCATAAGGTAGGACAGCAGTTCAAAACTGTTATGATTGGAGCGATATTAAAGATCACCACATGACTTTAACATTCTAAGCACACTTATTCTCAGTATTAAGCGCCCAGCACCTATTATCAAAGAGATTGAGACTGGAATTGAACTTTCACACATTTCATCCAAAACATTAGCTTGCTTTTAAATGAAAACAATCTAAAAATGTTTTACAGAAACTACTACTGTGCACAGCAGCCCTTAAAGTAATTCTTACCTTTCGCCTTTCTTCCACAGCCTTCATTTTCTTATCAATGTCTTCCTTGCATACAATAGTCTGCTCCCTCTTGGCCTTTAAAGACTCTAAACGAGGAGGTGGTCCCCTTACTTGATTGTCTGAGCAATCCACCTGCCGATTGAATACACTTTCATTGCATGAGTTTTGTGTGGCTTATGATGTCATGTAGTAAAGCAGACACTTATCTCAGTTCTTGTCAAATTTTCTAAGCAGTTATGATTGTGCACTCACTTTAAATTGAATTAGCTGAAGATCATTCCCAAGCAGCAGTGGTGGTGTGGAAAATAAAATAGTATATAAACACCCCTGTGTGGTTAGCAACAGTATAGGCAAAAGGACAGTATAAAACTTAGCCCAACACAAAGTGACAGGGTAAAACTTCAGGATTGTGAGTTCTGGTGTGAAAGTCAAATGACGGTTCTTTAGCAATGTATGTTAACTAGTTTAATGTTATTATATCATCAATCACTTTCATCAATTTCCCTACGGGATTAATAAAGTATTATCTATCTATCTAAACCCATTTAAAGACATATTATGCACCCCTTTTTCTTCCCCCACCATAACTTAAGCACAAAAATCCTTAACGCCGTTCTGAAGTACAAGTTGTTATAGTAAAAACTTTCACTTACCCGAACATCGTAGGCTTCTCCGTTTCTGACCACTCTGGGTTGGCTCTGAATAATGCCCATGCTGAGAAGTTCTTGCAGGATGTCAGAGGACTTTTGTCTCTCTTTCGGCTCCAGTGAGAGTCCAGGGCTTTCAGCAGCTAAGACACAACAAGAAACATTAAACTGAGAGCTGATAACCAGTCTAGTTTATGCATCTCCAAGCCTTCTTGTTACGGATTGGCTCAGCAGTCCGTCTCGGGTGTTAAGTTAGACTCTATGCAAAGTTGTATGAGCTGGAGGAAACAGAAGACATAGTTTGGGTAAAACACACAGAGGTTTAATAGTGCATCAAAATAACAGTGACAGTTCGTTAACCGATGAACAGGGGAACAAAGAGAGGCATCCAAATCCGAACAGGTCCAAAGGAAGGTCAGGGCACAGTCCAGAATTTCGATACCGGGAGATCCATCCTGAGACAACACAAGGTTGAAAATCCCCGGGAAGGGTAAAACACGAACACGGGAAGTCCTGCAGGCCCCGGGCTCAGAAAGTCAGGTGATGTCAGGGATGAGTTATGTGCCCTCAGGCATCCAACAGCCTGATGATAGGCTGGCCTTGTGACATCCGAACCCTAATATTGAGCCCTGAATACTGGGATTAAATAGAGGGAGATGAAACAAGGCACACCTGGAGAACATACCAGCAATCACAGAGAACTAATGACGGGAGTAGTGAAGCACGCTCTAGGGGAGGGATGTCGACCATGACACGGTCATTCATTGTTCTAAACTATGTCCATAAGTGTTTTGCCATAATAATCTTCTCCATTGCTCCTCTAATCAACCTTTATGGTTTAGAGGCATTCGAGGGATCTTTGACAATTTCCTGACACAATCAAAGACTTGGAACTCTACACTCATCACACTAGTTGTGTTAAATCTGTAAAGTTTTATTATTTATACCAAAATATGATTAATTGAACGTATCAGCACACTGAATGATGATTGTATTGCAAAGAGTCTTGGATTTTTAATTTTATTACATTTCCTCTCTATATACTGTATATTTCAACAGTTGTCAGATATTCGGTATTTCTGTGTTCCGGTATGTACAATAATAACAACACTTTCTTTAACCCTTGAGAATGCTATGCCTTTTTTTAATATTTGTTGTTCATATTTTCTGTAGATACATTTCTAACATTTTTTGAGATTGTGGAAATGGTTTTATTTATTCTCTTATATTTCCCAACAGCATCTATAATTCTTACCTCTCAGAGGGGGCAGTTTCCTTGGCACAGTTCCAGGTAAGTTTGTCCCTTCACTGTCCAGCCCCAAGCCACTGTCTGTTGTGTGCTTTGACACTGCTGAATGTCCCCGAAGACTGTCTAGCTTGCCACTGGAAGAACCCATCCCCTGAAATTAAAGGTATGATTTTTCAGACAGCATCATAAATACAATTCCTTGCAAATATGTTAACCTTCTGCCAAAAGTATTATAAATAGTATTATAAATAAGAAAACCAGAATATTGTTGATGTATTAACAGTGACTGAAGCATAGAACTCTGCAAATCTTTCAAAGTCACTTGACTTCACAATGGCATCCCTAACCTGTTTTCAGAAGAAAGCCTGATCTAGATTGTGTCTGGGTGGTATAATGCACATTTTACTTCTTAATGATGAACTTCAATGTACTCAGAGAGTTAAGGAACCTTAACCTCATCTGTAGCTTTTTGTCACATTATCCATAATGTGCTTCAAAATCTCCTCATGTTGATTTGTCATATCACTATGCAAGTTCTGGCTTGAAATTCAATATCCGAGGAAACTTAAAGAGAAAGGTACTCTGAAGTCAGATTAAATCTCTTTTGATCAGACCCAAAGAATATTACATTACTTTTGTGATCTTTCAAACTTTTCTTTTGCACTCAAGCTGATTTATAGTTGCAGTAGTAAAGGGATTTGAATACTAATGCAACTAAGAGTCTTCTTAAAGCACAGTGATCATCAAAGTTAAAATCTCCCAACAACTCACAACTGCCAACCCACTGAAGCTAAGCTGGTGTGAGCCTGGTCAGTACCCGGATGGGAAACCTCCTGGGAAAAACTAAGGTTGCTGCTATAAGAGGTGTTAGTGAGGTCAGCAGGGGACGCTTGTATTGAAAAAAGTAGGGGTGTTACCCTGGCGTCCAGGCCAAATTTCCCATTACCAATCATACTTCCTAATAATCCCCATTTATGAATTGGCTTCATCACTCTGTTCTCCTTCCCACTGATAGCTGATGTGTGGTGAGTGTACTGGTGCACTATGGCTGCCATCACATCATCCAGGTGGATGCTGCACATTGGTGGTGGTGGAGGGGAGTCCCCATCACCTGTAAAGTGCTTTGAGTGGACTGTCCAGAAAAATGTTATATAAGTGTAAGGAATTATTATTAAAATCTCATGGGGATTTGCTGAAAAATAAGGTTAATAACATTATCCAATATTCCAATGATCATCACCATTAATTTTTAGTTTCGTTTTTAGTTTTGGATCAAGTACCAATCAACAGGTATAGTACAAGTGCTGTGAGAGCCTGACTGATAATCTATCAAATGCAGGTTATCACCTCGTAATGTTTACAATCAGATGTAAGGGTAAATAAAATACATGGCCAGCTGACTTGATTCAATGAATTCCTTCAAACAAACAGACAAATACATTTTCCTGTGTAGTTTATACGGGATATTTTCATATAGTTTATTTTGCTCCACTACATCCATGCCTAAGTGACAAACTATAAGTATATACTTATTGTTTTGCATGCAGACCTTCAGGACTTTTATCCAGACACTTG